ACCAGCTGAGACTCATATTGAAGAATATTGAGATTCTCAACTGAGACTCATATTGAAGAATAAGTGTCTAAAGATATATTCATAAAGATGAGCCAAAGTTCTCGACTCCTCTGAAGATGCATAAGAATCCTTCTGCTAGCTTTGTACTGTGCGTACACTGTGAAGTTCTATACCATTTTTTTGCCCTAAAAAGCTTATAATTCAGGGTATAATTCTTTCATTGCTAAAGTCAGGAAAGCCCACTGGCAGAAAAGTGTTCAGCTAGCAAACTAGATGAGCTGGTCATACTGAATAGAACAGATGTTTTTGTACATAGACACAGCTAGGGGGTGGCACATCCGCAGAGAGCAGAAACAGGCTTACTTACCCTATAGTACTGCTATTGGCTTGTTGATACCACGTGACATCAACAAAATTAGTGTCTGTGGGTTAAAGACATTAAAGTAATTGTGTGAAAGGTTTAGGATGCTATAACTACAAGTGTTCTTCACTGAGTAGGATACAAATCAGCACCTCAGTGGGGGGGGTGGGGGGGTGGACAAGTTCTTCCCTTTGCTTTGTCAACTTTCTGGCTAGTCATCAAGTAGCCACCAGGGGGCATGATTGAGTTCATTAACCTTTACCCAAAATAATACTGCTTTGTCAACAATTGTCTAATAAAAGGAAACTTGAGTGTTCCATGATTTGAAGAGACTTAAATCCATCCCGGGGGCTGATCCAATTTCCTATAGGTCTTATTTCACTTAATTTTAGCTTTTTTTTCTATTTTTTTTTTTAATTGAAAAGACTCCCATGAGTGCTTAGTTGTTCTTTTTTTTAAGTTATGGTGCTCACTACAAACCTGCATTTTTATAATCATTTTACATGTATTGAATTCATGTAATTCTACCTAACCCCAAGGAGCACTATTATTTATGGCATTTTCCTCTTATTTTCAGAACTAAGGAAATGAAGTTGTTGCTGTTGTTTTTTAATATTTATTTATGCATACAGAGCTAGAGTAAAAGCCAGAGGTGCAGGCGCAGAGGGCCCTGGAAAGGAAGTTTAAATAAAGGATACCTTAGTACCCATTTCCCAAAGCCCGCAGGTTTTCACTAGTGACTTTGATGAATAGCTCTCAATTTTTTTCTACTTATAAAAACACCTTTTTTTTAAAATAAAAGATTTATTTATTCTTACAGAACTGGGGTACAGGCTAGAGGTGTGGTGGGTAAGAGGATTCACCAGAGACAGAGTGGGGAGCCGAACAGGCAGATCTACTGAGGTCTGAGGTACACTGCTGAAGGGAGCAGTTGGCGGGTCAGGAGAAGTCTGCGGCGCCATGTGGGTCACCTCCCTGGTGGGGGATTGAATGCGTGGGGGATTGAATGCGTGCTGCAGTAATGCGAGCCTCAGAATGTGGTACTTTAACCTGTTGCGCTGCCAGGGAGAGCCCTAAAAAACTTTTTTATGTATACGGGCTTATATGTAAACAACTACAGAAACGCATCCACAATTGGTTTGTCATTTGTTTCAGAATAGTAAGGCCATATTAAATGTATTATATACAAGTTGTCTTTCTAATGTAATCTGTTTAAACTCTTCTGTGTGAATGAATATAGATCTGTTTTATTTCAAGCACATATTATACACCATTGTGTTGAGTATACCATAATTTGATGTAATTGAACCATTTTTTTGTTTATTTCTTCATTATTTCAATTAATGCTGTAGCAAACATCACTGTACATGTCTTTATTTTTTCACGGTAGAATTTCTTTAGCATGAGTTCTCAGAAGTAAAATTGTTTTGTAGATTTAAATTTTGATAAATATCAGAATTGCTCTCTTATACTCCAAACATATATGAAGATCTTGTTTCCCTCATATCCTCTCAGCTGTGGTTTCTTTCCTTTTCAGAAGAAATAAGATTCTCTGAAATCTGTTGTGACTAGTGTTTTGAATATAGATGGCTTGAGAAGTGGGTGATCTTTCTAATATTCTAATTCTCCTCAATGGGTAAAATATGGGAGAAACAAGGACAAGAGAGCTGTGACTGCTAGAAGCAGAGCTTGGGTTAGGTTACCAAGTAAACAATTGTCTCCTTCACTTCATTTATCCAGTGAGTATCAGGGTTAATCTTATAGAATATGGAAAAAATGTGTATTCACAGGATGGAAAGTTTTCAATTTTTAGCAATTAAGGATTCTATACGAAAAGAACAGTGGGAGAGACAAGATGAGAAGGTGCAATGCTTGAGGAATTTTTAATACAAATTTATGGATTAAAACAAGAGTTTAGAGCATTATAAGTATTGTAAGAAAAGAATTTTCTAAAGATTTGAGAGTTTCCAAGGGTTTCAGAAATGCAGAGTGATCAATGTTCTTATTCTAAACTATGCTAAAATAAGGAATGCTGACTTCTGAGTAATTTTTCAGTATTTTATTTCGTAAGAAGGAAAAATGAGTGTGATAGCAAAATTAATTGCTTTCTAAAATTATTTTAATTTTCACTCTATTTATAAAGGGGGAACTTCAAGGAAGTAAGTAATGTTACCAAAAATGTTAGACTTCAAGAGGGAGCAGAGTATTTATGGGATATTCTAAATCTCAACAGCTTATTTAACAAATCAGAGTCACTGACAAGACTGCTTTATGTCAGTACAGAGCCAGAAGAGCTGGATCAAACAAACCTGGAATATAGCAACTGCTTACCACTGTAATTAAGGACAATTTACATTTGAAATTTAGCATATTGGAAAATACTTCCAAAATGACCCTATAACCATATCAGCTTTGGAGCTGGTTAAGGACAGACTAACAACTGCCACTGAGGAATTTCCCTAAGGAATGCAATTATTTATAAAAACTGCACTAAATATATTTCATTCATGCGTACTTTAGTCCTTTCCATGCAAAATTACTTCTGATTATGCACTTTCTGGTCCTGTCCTTGTATTTTCCATAGGAACAGTATGACCTAGCAAATAGAGCACAAAGTTCTGCTGGCTTAAAATGGAATTGTCATTGAGAACACTAAGTGATGTGCCGCAGATGAAACGATGCTGACCCAGCCTCTCAGCTAAGAAGGGAATCTGTAACAATCACATCCTAACTTTAG